ACAATATTAGTATCTGTACTCTTGGAAAATTTGTTACATCTTTAAAAATAATCTACAATGTGAATATTCCATGGGTATAGTGATAAATGAGGTCTAAATTATAAGAAAATGCATTTTCTTCGAAAACTTGAAGAGATAGGTAAAAAATGGTATAAAACAATTTGATAGACAATTACATTGTGCATATGATTCACGCATATAGGGTGTTCCATTTAAATTAACCACGTTATTGCCGTTTAAAGCTATTAATTATTTAATATAAATTTTTGGACACTCTGTATAAGGTAGTAAAATTTTTATTATTGCAACACAATATCTGATCAATAAATAATCTTCAGTAAATATTTAGTATTAAAAACTTTGATGCCCTTGGAGAAATGAAGCCTTAAAATTTTTACTGCAATTTAAAAAAATTGAAAATATTTCAAAAACGGTAAGGTTTAAGTGTGATAAACCTTAATCAAATTTACCTTTATTTCAATCGTAGAATCTAAAAATAGAACAATATACAGGGTGTTCCATTTAAAAAAATACAACTATGATATTTTTTACTTATTTGGGACACTCTGTATCTTGTAAAAATATTTTTAAATTGTAGCTCTAATAGTCCTTCAACGAACCCAAAACTTACAATTTGTAAAAATCTAATCGTTTAGCTACAATACTTCGTGTCGTATGTGGTGAACAACCCTGTACATGTATAGGAGGTATGATCCAGTTTCCTTTATTTGATAATGTTTCACATTGATTTGTTGCACAAGTTCTATTTCACTAAACAAATTAAATATATTAGTACATTTAAGTCATATTCCCTCTTTTTTATCATATGTTAAAGTCAAGATTATTAAAAAAAATCTTGACAGAGAAATTATATTGTGGGTATTTTAGCATGGGTGTTTTCATATGTTTTCTTAAATTAAATATTCTTATATTTTTCTAAGAAATTATATTATTTGGTCTTACCGTTAACTATTTTGTCTAATAATGAGTATAAGTGAACAATATCATTAGATAACTATTCATTTACACCTGATATTTTCATATTTTTCTCCAGTAGTTGTTCCTTTTCCATAGGTAATAACTACTATGATTACTGTTGTATCCGCATTCAATTTCCCGTTATTTTTCTGATGTATAGCCAATCGATTTACCGTATTTTTAGTTATCTAAAAGTAGTTAATGATGTTAGGCATATAGTTATATTTAGAGTTGTTAGAAGTCAACTATTTTCCTTTGTCGAGATGCACCTAAATCTTTCTGTAGAGAAAAAAAGAAGAAATTTCTGTTAACAAAAAAAGAACTGCAAACAAAAAAAAAAGAAAAATTGTTGGATTAATGCATACTTTTTAATTGAAAAAAATATATGTGCAAAATATTACTATAATATTTAAGCTAATGGTTCATATCTGATTCATATAATATGATCTGATCGAGTCACGAAAAGGATTTCCCGGACGGCTGAAGAATCGCCTACGTATTTCAATGCGTAAACAATGAACGAAATGTTAGATGTTAGTGTCTTATTAATGTAAGTTTTATAGATTTAACAGAATTGTGCTTTTATATGAACTACTCATATATCCTACTAATAAGTAAAATTTTTGTATGTAATTATTCACCTCCATACAGAATTCTGAAACCAGCAGCTTATAAATTTCTAGTCTGCACCACCAACAAGCGTCTCTTGCAAACAATTATTTAGAAACAATATGATGAAACATTGCATAATTTCAAAGGATGCAATGCTGAAAAATTAACTTTTTAACCTATAACATAGTTTAAAAAAAGTAATTTTATTAGTATTAGTAATTTTATAGTAGTACATCCCAATAAAATCGTTTCTGCACGAAAATAACTTTTTCATTACATTATTATCAGAAGTTTTTTATATAATAAACTCTTGAATAAATATTGCATCCTGTCCCGGTCTCGTTCTCGACTGAGACTAAAGATTCAGGTTCGGTCGGACCTTAGTTCCAATGCTTCAGTACAGATGGTACTACTGTTTAGAACTCGCTGTAAACATTTTATCGCGACAATTGACCTTCCAAAGCTCCGTCGAACAAAGCATACTTACCTGGCGTAGAGGTTACCGTGATCAACAAGGCGGTTACTCCAGGGTGAGGCCCTCCCATTGCACTACGGCTGGGCTGACCCCTGCGATTATCCCTAATGCGGATAACTCGGGCGCGTAATTTTTGGTAGTCGGGACTGCGTACGCGCTGTCCCGGTATTTAATGAATGAATATCAGTCTAAATCCATGGTCCAAAGAATACAAGGTATGATATTGCGCAGGTTGGTTGCTACGTCACAGGTGATAACAGGCGCTATTGGTCAGCACGCCTCGCGCGCCAGTTCAAATCGTCAAGATATTGTTATAAACTTGTTTTTTTGTTTATATACCGTCATTGAATTATCGCTAAGCAAGTTACTGTGGAGCAGTGCATAAGGAGTCGGGCTAGGAAGCGAGAGACCGGAGTTCGAATCTCGGTCGGGACATAACTTTTTATTTATTTTTTTAAATACTGTTGTATTCTATAGTTTATTTTTGTAGTATAAAAAAAAGAACTATTTATTCTGTGATTTTTTAATCTCCGGTATTAATATAAATTGATTGTTGGTACAATACCTCATTTAATATAAAATAATATTCTACTTTTTGAAATGTATCGGGCCCTAATTGTACCTAAAAGTAAAATATATTTTTACTGATATACCATATTGTAAACTATTTAATATTTCAGTCACTTAAAAAGTTAATTTGCATTGAATAATTGCCTACCATTAAAGTAAATTTGAGCTATATAATCCTTGATGGGCATCTTCCTCTAAATTTTGGGTTTCGTTCAACCGATTTATTCTCAAAACCTGAAACATCTACATATAAAAAGAAGCACAGGTCACTAATTATAATAAACCTCACCCTTGGAATTACTTCCACTAATTATAATAAACTTCACCCTTGGAATTACTTCTATCACAATTACAATACATTCATCTGCATTGGCATTTTCTACTGTTCAATGGGAAACAATAAACTTTCCAACATTTTTTAAATGATGTAACAATTCCTCTTGTGGTTACTTTTCCATAGATATCCTCATCTCTGTCCTCATGTGAATTCAGAGGCAATGAACATGAAAATTATTTACTATAAACATCGCAAACTAAAAACCTAATAAACAATTTTATACCGAATATAGAAATAAATTTAGTATTCTTACCTATTATCGTCCAAATCCATGTTAATAGATAATTATTATTTTTAAATATATTTTTGGAACTGCTGGTTTTAGTAATTATTAAATTAAACGAACTAAAAAGTCTTAAAAATAAACAATTCTTAACCATAACCCATCCATAACCCCAAAAAATACAGATCTCCTGTCAACTTTCTTTATTTTTTATTTATTCATTGTTTTCCTAGTGACGTCACTGGTGGTATGCGCGAACTGAACGAAATTAGAGCCGCTATCGATCATACCTTGTATTCTTTGTACCATGGTCTAAATCTGTCCTATATGAAACTGTGTGAATTATTCTTGCTATGCTGGTACGTGCTGTTTCACATTCACATGGTGCGGTTGGAAAAGTATATTTTTGAATACTTGTACAGTAGGGTGGTAGTACCACTGAATATTGTGGTAGTACAGATGTTTGTTGCATTTATAGCCTGTCTAAGCTCATAAAATGTTTTATTCTGGTATCTCGCGTTGCCTACTTTTGACTATGGAAATGACATTTCTTTTATTTTATAATTCTCTATGATCCCTAGATTATGATCGAAAAAACGTATAATGAGAATCGATCTTAAGCAATCAAACGATCGGTCGACTAAAACGTGCGCTCACTGAATCGGCCGACTAAATCGATTAGTCATTACAAAAACAGATTTTAAAGAGTCTGTTTGTGTAAGTACTCTGGAATCACGAAGAAAAGAAAAAACCATAAAAAACATTATTGGATACATCCCGTAACAAAGCAACGGTTTATCAATTAGAGTTGGGTTTTTTTATTGTTGCATCGTTTATTAAATTGTAATTTTTATAAATTGTATAAGGAATGATAGATGTCCTTTTAGTCCAATCTTCCTCGTTATTCATTTTTCTTAAACTTATAAACAACATAGAGACATACCAAATTTCAAACAAATGGTGCTTTCTTAGCTTATATTTACTAGGTGCTACACCACTAGAATACTAGAAGATATTATAATAGTTAATATATTTACATATTTAGTTTAAAGTTAGTCCTTGTTGAGTGCAGACACGTTAAAAAGGCATATTTTATATATTAGGTGGCCGACTAAAGCTTGATTTTCATGCATCCGTTGTCCGACGATACGATGATACCATATTAATTTTATTGGTTGAATTCAAAGACTTCGATTGGTTAGAAACGGTTAACCAATCGAAGCCTTTTAATTCAACCAATAAAAGTAATATCGTATCGTCGGACAACGGATGCATGAAAATCAAGCTTAAGAAGGTTGTAATACCCAGTTTTGTCTCTGGGCAGAAACTATTTAATCGGCCGACTATTTGATTGCATGTGTGCGCGGCTCCATAAGATCATATTAACAAATATTAGTTTCAGTTTTGAAATTAAATAGTGGGCCAACTGCAAATTGCATGTAGCGCGTAGCCAGTTTCCAGACAGCGTTTGGCTAGACATCAAATTTTTAGTCGGCGCGGCTGACTATTTAGATCTAAAATTGAAAACAATAATTCTTATGTAGCCGATCGGTCGACTATTTCATTGCATGTGTGCACAGCTCAATAAGAATATATTAGTTTCAATTCTGAAAATAAATATTCAGACGACTAAAAATTACACGTCAGTGTCTCAAGTTTGTAGAAACAAAGACGTAAAAGTACCAAATTGATAGTACCAAAATGATAATAGTCCGGATTCATTTCAGTAGATGGCGCCACATTTAAAACCTCGCCGACCAAGTTACAAATCCTCTGTTGATAATGCAAATTGTTGAAAGGGGCCGGCACTCTGGATTCCCGTCAGAGCGAATAAATCTTTCGCCTTTTACTAAAGATTTCCGTGGCGGGGATCAACTCAAATGAGTCTATAACAGAATTTTTCTCTGCCCTGGTTTTTACCAAGGCATTTTAATAAGACAAGTATAATTGGTGGTTTAGAGTAGAGGAGATTGGATCCATGGCATGGTACAAAGAAAACAAGGTATGATATTACGCAGGTTCGTCGCTACGTCACAGGTCACAAGCAGGGGGGTGACAGTGAGATAGGAAAATTGGAAACAGTCATTAGTGTCATTCCTGTCATTCTCCTCACGACAAGTATGGCCGCCTAGACAAGGACAGCATTGTTTTTGTCTAACTATTGTCTAACTTCACAGTTTA